TCTGTCTGTCTGTCTGTCTGTCTCTCTCTCTCTCTCTCTCTCTCTCTCTCTCTCTCTCTCTCTCATCATTTACTGATACACTAGGAGCACCATTTCGGCCAAAGCACACGGGACGTCTATCCTTCATTGGCCTGATTTGCTGTCAGCAACTGCGCCTTGCGCTTCTGACATTCCGTGTTCTTTGGCCGATGGAAAGAAGTGAGTGAGATGCATTCTCTTATTCTTTTCGCCGGCAGAGTCACGACTTTGAAGTTTGAAGACCTCGAGGCCACTGAGCTATCAAGATTAGGGTAGATATCTCACAGAGAACATAAATTTAAACCACCAATGCCCTTTCCCCGCTTGAAAAACAGAGTTGCGGCTTGTGAACGGCTGCATTTTTGGGGGGTTAGGCTACTGGACCGAAATGGCTGGTGGCGCCAGTCAAAAGCAGGCGTGCGTCGTTTCGTTTTTCTTTTTTTGGCACACACGGTGAATTTAGGCTCGGCATCAATAGCTGGGCAGAGTGGTGGTTTAAACCAAAAAACGAAAAAGATAGTTCCTGCCCAAGAAGTGCGTTGCACACATACACAGAAAACAATTGCTTGAGTAAGCCAAATTCCATACACCACAGTCACCGCATGATCATCCTGGCATCTACCAAAGGCTTACATCGCCGATCGGCGCATGCAATCAAAAGGGCAACGCTGGGACAACTCACTCAATGATTGCGGTGGGACCAAGCCCCTGGGAAGGGCTCTGATATTCTTCTTAGTTTTTGAACTAACAATAAAAATATGCAGGGGTAGGGGAGGGGGGGGGGGGGGGGGGGGGGTTAATTTGGACAATTTCTCTATTAAATCACCAGTACGTTTCCGCTCTTTGAAAAAAGAAGTACGGCTTGCAAGCACCTGCAACTTTCAGGGGATGGCCTCCAGAGCAAAATGGCTGGCGGCGCCAGCCAAAAGGGGCCCCGCGCCGGCTCCTTTTTTTCTGGCGTGCAGGCCATTTCCAGCCCGGGGAAAAAAAGCGCCTCGGAAGTACTAGCGGCTTAATGTGTGTCACCATTTCTCAGCGGCCATGCTAATCTTCCTTGTATTATTCCACTTTTAATGGATGTCCAGAAAACTACAGGGTCCTTTTAGTCTCATCATCTCTCATGCAATGAACTTTTGTTTTTTAAACTTTTTTTCTTAACTTTTTTTTCTTCGTCTATTTTTCTTTGACCATTCATTACTTACAGCACCTGGTGCCCAAGGCCCTGATATTCTTTTTTTTTTCTTTTTTGAAGTTTTTTCTTTTTTGCTCTGATGTTCTTTTTCATTGAAACGGTGTTCACCTATCTGCAGTCACAGATGCGGGCACTGGAGTTCGATCCCCAGACCTTACCTTGCCCATGTACAGTATCGAGTTGACCCCGGAGTGTTTGAACCCGCGACCTGTATTTTGGTAGTTGTTTGATGTCTATCGTAGGTCTGTGTAGTTGTAGGGGTTCGATCTGTAGACCTGTTGAGTAGGGGTCACAGCTCTGTAGAGGTCGTAGCTGTAGGTGTTCTGAAAGGTCAAGGTCGTAGTACTCGAAAGGCCAAGTCCACAGACTTCCGGAAGGTCCGGAAGTGGCCTTTCGCAGTTGTCTCACGTTTAGCCAGAGGCAAGTGGGCAAGTGGTGAGCCCAACAGCACTGCATCGGCAGTGCAATCGCGTGCAGTTAGCGGTACCGTCCCACGGTCCCAGTCTGTCACAGGCCAGTCAAGCAAGTGCCATGAGGGACTGTGTGCACCATGGGCCCGGTGGAAAGGGGCAGACCAACGAGTTACAGAAGTATAAATCAAGAGGCAGCGCCCAGCCATTCATTCATTCGCTGCGTAAGCCATGCGGAAGCGCTGCTACAGTGTCTTATGCAAAGGTGGTCTGCAGGTTGCCCGAGGTCGAAGTGGGATGAAGAGCGAGATCGTAGCCATAGTTAGTAGAGGCAAAGCGGCCATAGCCGCTGTAGGAAGAAGATAGACTTAGTGTGTGTGTGCGGTGGTATTCAGGGTGATCCAGAGTGAGTGTGTGCGAACAGTGGAGTTGGACACAGTGACGAAGATTGGGATGTACAGGCGCCGATGCGCCATAGCCTGTTGAAGTGAATTTGCAGCTGAACTGTGTTCTCGATTTCCATATCTCTAAGCTTTGAGTGGGCACTCTGCGCCAGTGTGAATCTCCACCTGTTTGCATGTATGCGAAGTGGAAGTGAAAGCGAGTCTGATTGCATCATTTATAATTTGCTGAAAAAATTGTACCTTGGGTGTTGTGTCATAATTGTCACTATCGCTGTCATATTTGTAAGTCGGCAGGAAGTTTATGGGTCCTTCCTTGTACCCTTGAAATACATGTCCCGCTCTCATTTCCCTTGTGAGCTGATCGTTTGCTTTGAGCACCTGCAGGCAGAGAAGCCAAGCCAAGAGCCTTCCCCCGCCCCCCCCCCCCCCCAAAAAAAAAAAAGGCACAACAATTACAATCATCTGAGTTGGAACCCTGAGCTTCTCAGGTTTAAAAGCGCGGATGAATCATCAATTTGCTTGCCGCAAAAGGGGAAGCATTAGGGGTGCTGGCAAAATAACCCGAGGGACCGACGGGCCTAGCCCAGTTGGTACACAGTTGAACTGTTGAAATGCAGGCCTGAGATCGAACCCTGATGAAGCACTCTATTAGGTGAGATAAATCTGAACTACCTGGGGCAGGCCAGCTCAATGATGATATATCAAGGCGGTCGGGCGGGGCCGGGTCGGCCTTTCTTTTTTGTTAAAAAAAAGGAAAAAAACAAGAGGGAGGAAAAAGGGAAAAGGGGGTAAGGAATGGTGAGAGCATAACAACCTATCCAAGGCCACAAAGAAGCGGGCGATGCTGAGTATAGCCTGCACTTATCAAACACTTAGATCGCTTCCCCAATTCAATCAATTAAATAACATCGTGGCTAGGACGCATGGATGAGCCCATAAATAATGTCTTGTTGTGGCAGCTGTCTTGATTCTTTGGGCGAGCTGCATACTTAGCTCAGCTGGATAGAACAACAAGCTTCCAAGTTGGAGGTCACAGGTTTGGAGGATGCTGAATTCTTCGGGAGAGTGGCCGAGTGGTTAAAAGCGACAGACTGTAAATCTGTTGAACCCATCAATGCCATATCGATCGATAATAAATTAATAGTAATTAATAATTAATAATTATAATTATTCATTTTCCAAAACTAAGTTATATCTTCTCTTATCTGTTGATGTGGGTGTTTTCTATTAAAAAAAAAAAGGTTATATTCTTCTCTAAGTTCTCTCAAATGAACCTGTGTAATCATTACACTCCCACAAAATCCTTGAGGCCATTGAGCGCATATTTCTGCAGTGCCCGCACACAGTCCTCACATGGCGCTGGCGGGATAAGATATGGTGCCACCTGGGGACCAAGGCGGTCTGGTTGTGGGAGTGTATAGTTCTCCTGTGCGGAACATGGCACACCCCGGAGGACTACACCTTCGCGGAAAACATGTTCAGAATAGGAAGGAGGGCGGTCCTCTGGGCGTTGTGGCAGAAAAGATGCATCCACGTCCTGGAGGAGGCATGGGGCGAAGGCGGGGAGTTTACAGAAATGATAAAGCAAAAAGTACAGATGGATTTAACAGAACAGTGGTCAAAAGTGAAAAGTTGAAAACGCACCTGGACTTATTTTCATACCAAAGAGGACATCCAACAGTAAATCACGCAGTTCTCAGCAGTACCTCTTTGGTCCCAGTTGGGGGGCCACCAAGGTGGATGGATCGTCACCCGCTTTCCCTGGTGGACTTGCAGTGGCATGGTGGCAATTGCAAAAAAAGACGGGGGTGGGAGGGCACAACCAGGGTTACTTCTGTCCATCCGGCGGCCACAGATGGCTGAAGAGGCAGTGCAACTGTCAAACGTTCTCTGAGTTCGTGGATCTCTCAAGCCGAAACCAGGTAATGACCCCAGGGTAGAGGGCAGAAAGATTGTACAAAGGGACACTGGACCCGGTTTCCAGCAGGTGCCACTCCCCACCAATAGATCGGAGCATCCTGGGACAGGCCTGCTAGACGGAGGTGTTCATACCACTCCATCTAGCAGGCCCAACCCGTTTTTTCAAAAAAAAAAAGAAAAAGAAAGCTTGCACTACCTACCCACCACTACTACTAAGCTGATACAAAGGACGCCTGCAAGCATAGCTACCTCTCACAATCAAGGGGATGCATGTTGCCCCCCGTCCTAATCGGCGGCAGTCATGGAATAGGGTGGCGGCGGTCAGGGAGCATGGTGGGGGCCCCGTTGGGGGAGTGGGGGTTAATGCAAAACCAAGCATTTTGCCAATAGCTGCGCCTGCCATCTACTTCCCCCCTCCCCCTCCCCATCGAGTAACAGCAATGTCTAAGGCCAGCACTAAAGACCCTGCCAATATCTCCCACGGGAAGCAAGCCAACTCAGTGGGGATTGAACCCACTAGCTGCTGAATGCCACCTGCATGCCTAACCAACTGACCTAGGTCCACTTTGTTTTGCAGCAAAGTGGAAACGTCAAGGTTGGGGGTCGGGAGGCAAGGAAGAGGAAAGGGGGAGGGGCGAAGAGGGAAGGAAAGTGGGAACACAATATCATAAGACCCTGCATTATCCAGACTTCAAGTTGAATTCGTGGCAAGATCCAATTGCCTGGAGGATATGCAGGTTCATTACTTGTGTGCCTGTGAGCGCGCGCGCGCGGGCATGAGAGAGAGAGAGAGAGAGAGAGAGAGAGAGAGAGAGAGAGAGAGAGAGAGAGAGAGAGAGAGAGAGAGAGAGAGAGAGAGAGAG